ATGCCCCGAGCTCCCAATGTCAGGTGGGGCCCGACTTGGTGTACCTAAGATTACAGATGCCCAAAACCCAACCGATCAGCAAGAGATAGTTACCGTAACACAGGTATAATTTCCAAAATTCGTCATTTGTGGAAATTGAACCTTAGACCTGCCATTTGAGGGTTGACAACCTATCCACTTCACTAGGTCGCCACACCCCCTAAAATATACTTTGTAATTTAATTAGAAATTTATAATTAGATATAAAGTTCTAAAGTATAACTTCAAGTAAATACTTATTTAAATTAAAAATTTTTAGAAAAAGATTAATTTGTATAATATAAACATCATATTTAATGAAAAAAATAAAAAATATAAAAGATCTATTAAAAAGAATTAATATTGCTAATTAGAAAACATCTTTAATAAAAAAAATCTATAATAGGTATAGTTGTAAAATTTATCTGTCTTAGTAAAATTTATTTTATAAATAAAATAACCTAAAGGTCTTAGAGTATGTAACATAATTAGTAAATATAGAATATATAGCATAATTAGTAGATATCATGTATGTAGCATAATTAGAGATATAGCATAATTAGTATAGTTAATACATATAGTATAAGTAGTGTATTTAGTGTATATAATATATATAATATAAATAGTATAAATAGTATATTTAGTAAACAAAGAAAAAGTATATTAGTAATGCATTCAAAATATAAAGTTTTAAAGTACAATAGAAGAAGATGTAATAAAGAATACATATCAGATATACTTGCCAAATTCAATACTTCTTTTAAGTATAATAATGCTATATATTATATAAACAACTTATTAGCTACTCTATGAATAAGGAATTCTAAGATAGTATTAATTTGTAATTTTTTTTTTAACTATAGCAAGAACAAAAGCTGCTTAATTATAATATAATAACTATAACTTGACAGATTCTATACAAAGTCTACACAAGACTTAACAAAATACAGAGTAATTTGGAATTTTAAGGCAGAAGCAACAATAAATAATATATGAAGATACTAAATATTGCATTTAGTTTATTTACTATAAATGTATAAAGACACTTAACTTTCTTGAAGAATCAGAAAGTAATGCTTTTATAGATATTTTACATAAATAAATTATTATAATAAAGACTATTCTATTACTAATAAATGCTATAAATAGTAATATTAAGATATATAAGAACTAATAGATATAATAAATATAAAATATATAAAATATATAAAAGATATTATAGATATAATAGAAATAATAGAAATGATAGATCTAATAAAAATATAATATCAATAATATCTATAAGATCTGTAAAATCTATAAGAAATATAAAATTTCTAACATAGTAATTTGAGTTAATCAGAATCAAGTCATATATATTAGAATTAGTGCTTTTATCAAAATTGTTCTAATATTATGATCTAGTAATCAGAATCACATGATCTTGTGCTTATTAAAACCATCTCAGTAAGATGACTCCAATGATGGTTTTTTTATCTAAATTGGTTCAGTACATCAAAAGTTATGATCAAAAATATGTAAAACTCTTCATGTTAATAGTGGTTCTGTTAAGTATCATTACAGTATACTATTAAGTCAGATGTTATAAAAAAATATTAAAATTAGAAACTTTAAATAGAAAACTCACAAGTAGGTTTTAGATATGCAATTAATAAATAATTTGTAAATAAAACTTTTAAATAAATAATAACTAAAATTATATACATAACTAATTATAATCTTATTAATATTGTATACTCTTTTTATGATTGCCTCTATGTCTGTTATATCAACAGATACTAGCCAATATATACTATCAATAAAATTCTAAATTGTATATACTTATCTTAATATTAAAAAAAAAATCTTATTAATATATAAAATGTAATACTTCTTATATAAGTAATAAATAAAATATTATACTTAATAAAAAATTTACAAAATTATAGAAATCTCACTTTAAACTTTAAAAAAAAAATTTGAAATTAATATTTAAAAATTTGTTAAGAATTAATAAATAATTTTTTTAATTAAACTTTTTTTTAAATTTGTCTATTTGTAACTTATAAATAACTTAATTTTTTTTTTATAATATAAAATTAAATAGGATGCTAGTATTTTCACAGCCTATTTTTGGTATTTCTACACTCCTTGCAGATTGATAAATTATGCAATATATTTTTACAATAAGATTGACATACATCTGCATATATTTTTACAATAGGATTGATATACTGTTAAAAAATAGTTTAATACATTATGATATAATTATAATCTAATAGTGTAATTTTTTATAATTATATAGTATTTATAATTATATACTAATATTCAAAAAAAAAAAAATATCCTTAAAACAATTTTTTATATTTGCGAAAGACCTTCTTTAAAAAAAATCTATTAAACTTTACAAAGTTGCTGAACTTGATAAACATAAGTTAAAAACATATCACCAACATATAATTATTGTGAAGACTGTTGATTTAGTTAACCGATTAAAAAATTAATTATTAATAACATGTAAAGATAATACATTAGCAAACTTTTTTATTCGACTAGTATGCTTTTTATAGCTATTTAAAAATCAATTTATGGAAGCATTATTATGTTAAAACTTTATATTAGTCCTAATCAATGTAATTAACAAATATTTTGTCAGTATCAGATAGATAGTCAAATATATATTTAAAATACAATAGCTTTTTTTTTTTATGTAATATATCATAAATTCGAAATTATAGCATCATATTAAAAATTTTTTGTCTGACAATTAAAATTAATTAATATTTTTAGTTTTAGCAAAATTTTATCTCAAACTTTAATGTTTTAAAAAAGTTTTAAAACAATAAAAATGTTTAAAAAACTGGTTAAGCTATTTTTTTACTATCTCTATATATATATATTTTACATAATTATGAGTGCAAGTGCATAATAGTAAAAACCTGAAAACCAATCATAGTAAATCATTAAATTAGTTTCTAGGTTTTCATTCTTACACACTCATATAGAGAGTGCTTCTTGTTAAAATATATAAATCTGATTGGCAAATATCTTATTAGTTACATATATAGTAATTAAGTTAACACAGTCTCATGATTAAATCAGAAAATAATCAGAAATATAGTGTCAGCATATAATATTATAATACATTAAAGATTAAAACAAATGTAATACAATTATATAATAGTTATAGGGTATAAAAGAAAAAGATCAATAAAATATTAACTTTTCACTTTTGCTTAAGAAAAATAAAAATAACCGATACTTACATAGTAAATCGCATAAAGAACACTAGTACAAAGTTTTATAGTTAAACAATATATAAAGTATTAAAAAATCTTTAGCTAAATTACAGTAGCGATTAATTCTGTGAAGCATATATATCTTGTTTTATATTAAGTCAAAGCATGTGATAAAGAAAAGATGGTTAACACAATATTTAAACAAAAAAAACATAAAACATTATATGCTTTAATCAAAGAAATTTTTTTTTTAAATACTTACATTTAAACATATAGTAGTTATGCTTCCTTTTTCTGTTGGGGTGTTTCAAAGTCATAATGTGCTAATAGAGCATGTTCAGACTTTTGGTGCAACAAACAGATATGAAATATCAATTGCAAGATCCAAGCCAAACACTGTATACTTAGCTTGTAATCAGGAGGAAACTATCGAAATCGTCTGAGTCTTACTAATAAGACATGCTGTAAGAATACTGGTTCAAGACTTATAAGCTGCCCTTTCACACTTCATGAAAAAAAAGATCAAATAATTTATGAGATTTGTCTATTAGTAACCCAGAACATAACCATGAACAATCTGAAGATCTATCAGCTCACCCATCCCTTCAAAGACAAGACAAGCAAGCTTTTGAACAATTGGATACTATGTCAAAAGCCAGTATTCATCCTTAGCAAATTTTATCTTTTTTCAATTAAAATGGTTTGGTTATAACCAAATCACAAGATATTTACAATGCTCGTAAAAAGCTTTATCATGAATACCTCCAAGGAAGAACACCTATTCAGGCACTTTTGGATAATCTTAAAAAAAGCCCATTTGAGTATAATTTTATGTGTGATTCAGAAGGACACATAACACATTTTTTTTTCTCTTACAACTAATTCATTGAATTAACTCATACATATTCTTCTGTATTATTAATAGATTGTATGTATAAAACAAATAAGTTCAGGATGCCATTATTAAATATTGTGGGAGTAACATCTTTCAATATGACTTTTTTTTCATGCTTTGTGTTTCTTAAAAATGAGAATAAGGAAAATTACGAGTGGGTGCTTATGTGGGTATCCTGTTTGTTCAATAGAATTGACAAACCAAAAGTTGTCATAATGGATCGTAAGTTAGTGCTTGTTAATGTACTTGAACAAGTGTTTCCTGAATCAAAAAATTTTCTTTGTCGATGGCATATTGACAAAAATATTATAAGTAAATGTAAAAAAAATTTTCACAATGAGAATGAATAGGCAGAATTTCTTAAAGGTTGAATAAGCATAATAAACTTAAAGACAGAAGAGGATTTTGTGACTTAATGGCAAAAGTTACGTACTAATTATGAAAATTCACTTACAATTAATTATGGTCAAAATATTTGGTTGCCATTTAAAGACTGATTTGAAGTGCATGGACTGACAAGTACCTTCATCTGGGTAATATTGTAACCTCATGGGCAGAGGGCACTTATTCAGTTTTAAAACAATATATTCAGGTTTACTCTTTTTTTTTTTTTTTTAACATAGGATGCAATAGAGACATTCTTTATTCTTAATCTTATTATACATTATATTTTAATATTCAGGTTTCAACAGAAAATCTCAACATGGTGTATGAAAAAATTTTATTATTATTTAAAAGCCAACATAATGAAATTAAAGCAATAGTTGCTTAAGAAAAAATGTGAATCCTACATGAACAAAATATTCCATTTTACTGTGAACTCATCACTAAAGTTTCTTCCTTTGTACTAAAAAAAGTGCATGAACAATATCTTAAAGCATTATTAGCCAATTCTGCAAACTCTTTGCCAACTTGCACTGATACTTTAAGTTTAATGATGGGTTTACCCTATACTCATACAATCAAAAGACGTCTTGTTGCTTACCAAATATTAAACCTTCATGACATTAATCAACATTGGTAGATTGATAGAAGTATATTGCCTTAACAAGATTTGGCAAATGATAATCAATTAGAGCAACTGCTTGAAGAATTCTACCAATAATATAAAATCTGGATAGTTCCACAACAAACAAGGGCTCATGATGAGCTTTTGAAAATAATTAAAGAACAACCTATGCATTTACTAGACTTAACTGTTGCACATATCTGAAGATGACCAATAGGATCAAGAAACAATACTCAAACATCAACTTAAAGAATCCTATCGGCACTTGAGCTAGAAGAATCAAAAACAACTAGTAGAAAATATAGTATATGTCATAATATTGGACATAATAGTAGAACTTGCTCTAGCCATGATTTATAAACTTGATATTAATTGAGATTTGTTTAAAAAATTCTAGTATTAAATTGATATGAAATATATAAAATATTAAATTTGGTTTTATGTAGATTGTAGATAGAATAGTTGTTTATATTAATGTATTTTTTGATTTTATTTATAAATTAGATAACTAATTTGAAAAAAATAACATTACAACCAAATTCATTAGATCACTTATTCATGATGTAACCTTTGCGCTTTATTAAACAAAAGTTTTAAAAATCATTATGGTTAAATTTTATCATTTATTAGGATTTATAAATAAACCCTATATCAGAGGTGCTATATAATATATATGTAAGTCTTAAATATATATTTGTTTATAATATTTTCTTGTACTTTTACTAACTCATCTTTAATTTGATTTTTTTATACACAATCTTAATGATAAATAATATATTTGAATAAAAGGAAGTATAACCCAAAATTTTTCTATTAAGCTTTTTTAATATTACATGTCTCTATAACAGTAACAGTAAAGTACAGATTTTTATATTTATAATACTATATAAAAAAAGCTCTTGCATAAATTTTCCCAATAGTAATAATCTACCAATACTAGCTAATTTATATATAGGAACACTCACAACAAAACCAGAGGATAGGACTATATAATACATAGTCCTATCTCTTGTTTTTGCTGTGGGTGCCCCTATATATCTATCTAATTTTAGACAATGGTAGTAGTCAGAACCTGTTTTATTTTAATATATTAAAACTGCAGAACTTTTTATATGAAATTAATTAATCGAATTGTAACTTATTTACTAGTATTATTTCTAAAAATTGCCATAAAGCTATTAAAAAATAGCAATTCTTATTATACATGAATATAAAATAAAAAAATATCTACATGATAAACTTAGAAATGTTTAATAAAAGACAGTTGAAATGATTAGTTTAGGTTTTAATTTTGAGAAAAGATTTACATATGTTAATAGCAATATTCATAGCACTTATGATTTGTGTGCTGAATGCTAATTTTTTAGGCAGGTAGATAATTTGAGTAGTAAATAATTATGAATAGTTTTTAGTAATTGTCTTTAATATGCTGTATTTAAAGGTAATAACAGTAAATGTAGAATCGAATTACTATTACCTACGTATGTATTAGTATGTACAGTACTGAATGTTTTTGACTAATTTGATTTGTTAATATTTATTGTACTATGATATATATATAATTATATTAAGTATATGTATGTTGATCTTATTATAAAAATATATACAAATGTATGTCGATCTCATTGTAAAAATATATTATATAATTTATTGATCTGCAAAGAATGTGGAAATACCAAAAATAGGGTGTAGAAATACTAGCTCCTAATTAAATATTATTATATTATAATTCTTATTTTTAAATATTAATAAATAATGAGAATAATGATTTTAGTATAGTAGTTAGATTGTCATTTTCTAAATGATAGGTCTAAAGTTTAATTTCATCTATATAAAATTAAAAATTAATCTGTATTATAAAAACTGTTTTCTATTGATTAATTAATCTTATATAACTTTAGTCTAAATATACTAAGCCAGTTCTATTTATTATTAGAAGCTTAAGACATATATACAAAATATAATATTATATATATATAAAGAAAAATATTAATAACTAATATTATATAAAACTTTAATGCAAACCTATAATAAAACCACTAGATGCAGAGACTAAGAAACTAAAAAAACAGAAATCTACTTAAAAATTCCTAAGTAAAGAAATAATATAAACTTTTAATAATATTATTGGACTGATGAAAGCTTACAAAACATCTTTAACATGATATAAAAAAAATTGTATATATAGAAGATTTAAATAGACAAGACTCCTAGTTGGCTTGCAGGTATGATAACTAGTATAAAACTTATATAGTAATATGTAAATGAACTACTTAAATTAGGCACCAAAAGTGCATATATGGCTAGTTGTAACCTCCAATGTAAGATAACCTCTAGTGACATGCTATGTCTTATATACTTAAATAAAAATGTTTTTTTTTTTTAAATATTAAGGTGAGTACTTGTGACTCAAGATTTTATTGATAATACATTCAGCTAATGGTTGCATTACAACCACAAGGAGCAACCATAAAAAGAGTATACAACTAGCTACTTGTACAACTTTAGTCATTGTCTAATTTAAGTAGTCTACCCAAAGGTTTTACACTAGCTGCCATACCTGAAACCTACTTGTAAGTTCCTTATTTAACCACTCTGTTTCTGTATCCACCTATCTACCTACACCTACCAAGATGCCCTGGTCAATACCAGTGCAAATATGCCATAGTCACTAAGTCTTTAAAGCAGTTCACTTACATAGAGAACCTTTGACCTTATACTAAACCTTCCAGAATCTTCTGTATCTCATTCTTACAGCTGACCTAGTATCGCTATGGCCAAGACCAATACTGATAGTCAGGATGTACCATTTAACTACTATGCCCTTGTA